CCCTCCGTCAGAATGATGGCTTGCGCCACTGCCTCAGGAATGGACTCCAATATCTGCGTGCTCGCCAAGCTTTCGAAGCTGCAATCCTCCAACACGTCCATCTCCCTATTGGCCTGTTCGACGGTCTCGTTTGTCGAGTCCTCCATGCCTCTATCCACGGCTGCCGTTGCTGGATCGCCGATTGACTGGCAGGTACCGCCGCTGCTGTTGTCCAGGCTCGACGATGGAAAGGATCGTTTAGCATCCGATTCCAAGGTTAGGTTAACTCCCCTCAGGGGGTGGGGGAGGCCACTGGGGGTTTTCAGGGGCCCCTAGGAGCCTTCCCCGCTACGGGTTTTGCGAACCCGAGGTACCCGAGCACACCAGTACCGTAACTCCCGTCGGCCGCGAGATCGGCGGGGGCCAGGGAGTCCCTTAGAAAACTCGCGAGGTAGGCGCCTCTATAAAAAGTCCGCCTAGTCGAACGGGACCGTGAGGGGAGAGGTGGCGTCTTGTGCGGATCCGTGACTGACTGCCCACGGGTGTAATCCCCGTTCGGGATTTTGGTCTTGGACTGGTTGCCCGTGGGCGCTCCCCGATCGGATCCCGGGACAAACTGCTTTTGCTACCCGACCGTCCTAAGGAAAGGAAAACCCTGACAAAAAACCGGGGGTCCGGCTGCCCTGCTTAGGAGGCTGGCTAGCTTTGGCGAACCAGTCTCCAACAGCCGGTAAAGGTTGGCGGCCCTGACTTCAATCGCCCGGTCGGCCGGGACCGTTAGGGAGGAGTTTCTACTCCGCCCGCTGGCCTAGAGGATGGACATCTCGAGAAAAAACCACGGGGCGAGGCCTCGAATGACTCGACCATTGCACGCCGGTGCTCCGGCAGGTCGGGGGATTCGGGCCGTCAAGGGAGGTTAGGGTTTCTCTCCTCTCATTTATTGCACGCCGGTGCTCCGGCAGGGTAAGGAGAGGGGACTCACGGTGGTTGTAGGGCAAGAAAAAGTTTTTTTCCCCGTTCCCGAGGCGGGCAGGGATGCCGTCTCGCCGAGGGGACGGGAAGGTCCCTCTCAATGCCTCCCTGATGCCGTGTTCCGGCGGGAGGTGAGAGGGACAACCCTCTTTCAGACTGCCCCGGTACGTGGTGCCGGGGCAACCGGAGGAGAGGACCACATCGGCGGCTTGCACACCAGGGTCGTGGACCCACGGTGCCGCTGGGGAGGAGGGTCGTCCCGGGCCGCTCGAACGTATTTCGAGGTCGGGGCCGGGTCGACCTGAGTGAGAGACCCGTCGGGCCGCTCGGACATCTTCCGAGGTCGGAGCCGGCGGGTCTAACCGTCGGACGCAAGGACCGGCGGCGCGTACGAAGACTCGTTGGTAGACGACCACATCATTTGGGGGGCATCCTGTGCCCTGGCCTCTTGCGGGCGGTGGGGCGGGGGACTGGGATCGAGCTTGTTCGGCGGAGGGAGGTGTATGGTGGGGTGTTCCCTTTACTCAAAGTCTGTCAACGAGCGGCAAGGGTCGTCGGTGCGGAGGTTACCTCGGCCGGCGACCCGGGAGGGGACATTGGAGGGGTTGTGGCCTCCTTGCCCCTGAATGTCCGGGGAATCTTTCCCGATGTGGCGGCGCCCTCCGCGGTGCCCTTGCTGTCGGAGGCAGGGGATCCCCGATAGCCCGCAGTGCGGTGGCTCCTTGATGGGCCTCGCCCGCGGGTGTGTAAAGGGCAGACCCACGGAACCTGCCCTGGATGCTTATTCCCGGGGCTATAGTGTAGCCTGCCCCCCGGGGGAACTCGGGGCCCGGCCGGCTCCCTCAAAGACCGGTCGGTGAGGGCACGCCCTGACAGGTGGAGCCGAGGAAGGTCAGGGAACATTGATTTTATGGATAATCAAAAAACGGACTCCGGAAAACACACGGATATGCATAGTACGGGGGATCGGGATCGCAGTGTCTCGGCCGACCCTCCGTTGACGAGGCCGATAAGCTCGGCGAACAGTGGGACGAGAGCAGGGAGGACAAGAGCCTCTAAGATACCCCTAGGTAAACTCAGGGAACCTAAGAGTGCTCGAGACAAGGCCGACAAACTCTCTCAAGGAATTCCCCCGGAGAAAACGGGTCCGGGAAACCAACCACTCATGCGTCTTAGGAGGCTGGCTTTCTCTCATGCGTGAGGAAAGCCTTTTCTGTCCTGGTGGAAAGGCTAAGGAGCGAAGATGTTCTACTAAAAAAGACGGACGACTTTCTAAATAAAGATCCAGCGGACAGTATGTCAGCCCGAGATGGGTCCAAATCCAGAGATGGAGTTAGGGAGACCGACTCTGACTCTCCGGATAAAGGTGGAGAGGACGATGAGACGGACCCGACAATATGCAAAGGATCCGACGGTAACCTATACCTCATGAATCCTGATAGAAAGAGGGGTAGACCAGTCACCACTGGAGACTGGGAAGTAAAGAAGGCCATTAAGGCCAGGAAAGCACGAGAGCATGAGGAGGCGAGGGTTAGAGCGTTGACGGATAAGACGACGCCGGCAAACTTATCCAAGAGCAGGAGAATGAGGAAGATCGAGAAGATGGAGGAGTTCAAGTCGGCTCCTACCAACGATCTCCCTAACAGGGTCTTTGAGGCAATTCTAGTGATGGATAAAGTAAACGCCACGTCGAAGAACCTCAAGGGCATGGACCAGAAGCACCTAAGTGACGCAGCTGCGACCATCACTGCAGCAATTACCCACATGGTTAACCGTATGGGCCAGGACGACAGGCTGGCTAGAAATGCAGAGCTAGACAAGTTCCGCACCCAGATTACAGCCTTCAGAGAGGACAACGCTCGCTTACAAGAGCTCGTGGAGAGGGCGTTGCCTCCTAGAAACGAGGAGTCCATGGATGTGGACGAGCCACCAGTCCACACTTCCCACCAGACATCCCCGGTTATAGGCAAACGCGCCAGGAGAATTAAAAAGCGCACGATTTTGGACTTCTCTTTTTTTTCCGATAAGGAGGATTTCGACGCTGTAAGGGCGAGGGAAGAAAAGAGGGCTTCTAAGATCCGCCGCAAACAGATCCTCGCCCAAGCGTAAGCCGAAAGTATGCCGGCGGCCCACACACCTCAATTTGGCAAAAAAGAACCTGCGCTCTTGGAAAAGGCCGTCCCGCCTTGACGCACGGAGCCTATGGCACTGCCCCTCAAGGAACTGTCCTCCGAGGAGAGGATGATAAACACCCTTACCTACTGGTAGGATGGAAGGGTTGTTCGCCAGCCTGACGGCCAACTTAGCAACCAAACTTAATGTTGGTCCGCTGGGTGACCAAAAACAGGACGGGAGGAACGTACAACCCATGGTGAAAGACGCATCAAGAATATTAAATAAGGAAGGGACCAAAGGTGGTAGGAAGGGTCAGGAAGCGAACAGCGTGGGCAAGGGAAAACCCACGTTCGGCTTTGAAAAGTACTGCCGATAAAGCCAAGTCCGGGGTTCAGGAGAACAAGCCCCTCCCCCCTGCGACTGGCAAGTCGGCGGGCAAGACCACCTCTGCCGCCCCTGTCAAGCCCAAAAACGCCGACAGCAGTCAAAAGACAGCGGTGACGAAGAAGGACAAGGCGAGAACAGGAGGGAAGCAGCGGGCCGTGGCCGGTGGGGAGGGGGCCCCCTCAGTAGGGAAGACACCCGCCGCCGCTGGGATCGCCCAACCGGTCAAACCCGCTAAACCGGCTGCGGGCAACGCCGCGACCGGCAAAGCTAACGGGGCTGGAAAGAGGAAGCTGCCGCGCAATGCGGCAGTTACTCTGACCAGCCTCAACGGAAAGTATGAGGAGCTACTGAAGGAGGCTCGCAGCAAAATAAATACCAGCGAGTTGGGAATAACTGCGGGCCTCAAACCAAAAAGGGCTCAGACCGGGGTCCTTATCATTGAGGTCCCCGGAAAGGACAACGTGGCTAAAACCGATCTCCTGGCCGAACAGCTGGCCAAGGTGTTTAAGGGTCGCCCCGGTATTAGAGTCACGCGACCTGTAAAAACGGGGGAGCTTTGAGTCCTCGATCTCGAGGAGTCGATAACGGAGGAGGAGTTAGCGGCAGCCATTGCGGAGATTGGTGGCTGTCTGCTGACCCAAGTCCAGGTCGGACCCCTACGCAGGAGGCCAAACGGACTGAATATGGCATGGACCAGGTGCCCACTTGCAGCGATAAATGCCATTAACAGGCAAAGGAGGAAAGCTGCCGGTGGGCTGGTTCATCGCCCGGGGGCAGGCGGTTGACGCAAGGCCCTACAATGTTTTTAATGTTTGGAAGAGGGCCACGTCAGAGCGCAATGCACTAGTGCCATTGATCGAAGCTCCCGGTGCTACAGGTGCGGTAATACCGATCACCTGGCCCGGGAGTGTAATGCGGCCCCGAAGTGCCCAGTGTGCACCGACTTGGGCAAGCCGGCGGGGCACCATGCGGGAAGTAAGGCATGTGCCTTCGCAAAAAAGAGGGCTAAGCCCAAGAAAGGGGCAAACACTGCCAGACCCAACTCCCAACCGGCTAGGGGAGACGAGAGAATGAAGGTGAAAATGGCGAACGAGGATGAATCCTCCCGCCCCCTGCCGCAAATAATGAGTGTGGAGTCGGTCTCCATCTCAATCCTTATAAGGCAATCAACCAAGAGGTCGGCCTCGACGGGAAATGGTGATGGAGAAGCCGAGGATACGGAGGGCAGACTCAAGGCCCGTAGAAGAAGGAAGGAAAGGGGGCAGGCGACGGCGCAGACGACTCCACTGCTGCCTGACCTCCCCACAGGGCAACTGCTAATTGGGGCCCCGACTGACCCGCTGCCGGCTTGTCCGACACCGGTGAACCAGCCGGAGGTAGAGCAGAGAGGAGAGGAGGAGCCGATACAAACGGCCCTGCCTGAAGAAGGGCAAAGTGAGGTGAAAGAGTTGGAGGCCTCTGAAAACGGCGTCCAATAATGCCTCCACCGAAATTCCTCCAGGCCAACCTCAATCGCAGCCCCGCTTCGCGGGATGTGTTCTTACACACGATGGCAGAGCGGGGATGTGTCCTGGGGGTGGCCGCTGAGCTGGGCCGGGTGCCGCGGAACCACCCGTCGTGGGCGGTAAGCCGGTGCGGTTTGGTGGCCATTACGTGGAGGCGGACCGACAAGCCCGTCGCCTGTTCTCGAGTTGAAGCGAGTGACGGGTTTGTCATGGCGAAATGGGGTCACGTGTACGTCGCGGGAGTCTACGTCTCCCCGAACGTGTGCGTGGCTGCATTCGAGGAGGTACTGGAGGATCTACGGGTCGTGCTAGAGAGGTTCCTGCCCTGTCAAGTCATAGTGGCTGGGGATTTCAATGCCATGTCGGTATTGTGGGGCTCCCCGGCCACTGACAGAAGGGGCAGGATCCTGGAGGAATGGGCGGCGGGCCTAGGACTTGTGGTTCTCAATACCGGGCACGTCCAGACCTGTGTGAGGCGGCAGGGGGGTTCATCGTCGATTTGACGTGGGCCGCATCCTCTGTTGCTCGCCGGGTCAGAGAATGGCAAGTGGCCGAGAAGATCGAGACTCTTTTGGATCATTTGTTCATCAAAATGAGTCTCCCGGCCGCCTCCCCAAAAGTCGAGGCTTGCCGCAGGGAGGCGGAAATGCGCTTCCCGCGCTGGGCCCACACGAAGATGGACGTCGACATGTTACAGGCGTCCATCCATACCTCCCTGTGGGTTGACGATCTCGCCGCATTGGCAGACGACGACGACGTGGATGGGGCAGCTGAATGGATCGGAGGCGTTATGCGTACGGCGTGCAACGCCAGCATGCCCCGATCCAAGCCCCATCCACGCAAAGCGGCGTATTGGTGGACGGAGAAGATCGCCAAATTAAGGCGCTCCTCCGTCCGCGTGAGGCGTCGTTGGTTGCGGGCCAGGAGAGGCTGGCAGCCACGACAATTATAGGAAGCAGGAGTGAAGTACCGCTCCGCCAAGCGGCTCTACTCCTGGGCTATCAAGCAGGCCAAAAACCGCGCGTGGCAGAAACTGCTGGAGGCCCTGGACGATGATCCGTGGGGGCGCCTCTACAAGTTGGTCCTCAATAAGTTGAGGACCTGGGCGCCCCCGGCGACGGAGTCCATGGACCCCGAATTCTTAGAAGAGGTCGTCGGGACCCTCTTCCCCGACGATCCCGGGGAGAGGACGTTCGGCGGTCCCGGGATGAACATTGCGTATCGTCTAGAATGTTATAACGCGTCTAAACTGTTTTTCGTATTTCATCAATTGCGTTTTTTTTTTAATTATTATTAAATTGTAGTATCCGTTGAAAGTAAAATTTACATAGTCATCTGTGTTAAAATTTTTTTTTATACCTAAATTTTAAAATGTCTTCAAACGTTTGATGCTTGCAAGTATACACGATTTTTAATTGTATTACGATTTTCATAATGAAACGTATATGTATATATATTTATATGTATATGTGTGTTTATAAACATATTGTTACACACGCAAAGCAAAGCTTCCGCACTTTTGCGACACAGCACGGCACTCTAGCACTTACTCGACACTCACGCAATAATAACACGGAGGTTACGAAAACCAGACTCACGTATATTTACAGCTGCTCAATACAAAAGTGTCAACACACAAGAACAGTTCTCCAAGACCAAGTTAAATCAATAATCCCCGCGTTGCTAAGGACGCTTCCAACTTCACGGGAATGACCGCTCGCTTCAGCTCAGATCAAGGGCCGTCTCAGCGCGGGCGTAACACTGCCCTCCCTTTTCAGATTGTCGTCCCGACAATCCGGAAGGGCAGTTCTTACGTCAGGGCGTTCTCCCGTTCCCGCGGCTTCCAGGAAACTGTACGGCCTCTTGCCCTACCCTGGGCTGCTGCCACAGGTTACCGGGCGCCGTCTTCTTCAGCTCCTACCGCTCTCCCCAGGCAGTCCCCAACGACATCCCGTCTTCTCTTTGGGAAACTCCAAGGCGACTCCCAGCTTCCACGCAGAGAATCTAGCCCTCTAGTACGCACAGCACAGACCCATTTCTCCAGCCCGACGCTAAGCCTTCTTCGGCGTGTTTTCTCTCTTGAAGTTCTTCGGACAGGAGGGGGGAAAATTTCATCGAGGACCCAATATCTCAAAGAGACTCCCCCTGTCCCCTGCCTCGGCATTCGCCCTAAGTCCCACGGAAAAACCTCGGTACAAAAACTGTGGGCGAGACAGGCTTGCAGAGATGCTGCCATGGAACTTCATCTCGCCTTTTTGAGTTCTCCGCATCTCCTTTGGCCAGTAACAAATTTTCCTAAAACACAAAACGTCAAGCGCAGAGAACACAAAACAAAATATTTAAAAATTCTTACTTAGTAACTATAGTAATCTCCGGGTTCCGATCTAACCTTCCAATTTTCTATTCGAAAAAGGAGCTAGTCTATCAGCATGAACTACTTTATTCTTATGTCTTGGCGACTTTCGAATACAATAAACTACTTTACTCAGTTTTTTAACTATGAAAAAGGGGCCTTCCCAATTGCTCTGCAATTTAGGGGCTTTCCTCTTCTGTCTTTGAGGATTATAAAGCCACACTTTTTCCCCTTCCTGAAAAAGAATCTGCCTAGTCCCTCGATCATACCGAGTTTTCACATAAGAAGATTTGAGATTAATCCGTCCCCTAATATTGAAATGGATCTCCTCGAGCTTTTCTCTCAAGTTCCTAATATAACCTCTAGCTACTTGCGGATCTTCCCCGGGAGGTTTCGGAGGATTCTCCCTTAACAAGTCCAAAGGCAGCCTAAAGTCTCGAGCAAAGTATAACTCCGCCGGAGTCACACCAGTGGTTTCATGTTTTGAAGATCTGTACGTCAGCAAAAACATAGGAATCCAATGATCCCAATCCCTCTGATTCTCTGAAATAAACTTAGCAAGATAATTTATTAGAGTTTGGTGCTGACGCTCAACTTGTCCGTCCGATTGAGGATGTAAGGCGGTGGTTCTCGTTTTTTTAATTCCAAAGAGTACCATTAACTCTGCAAAAAGTTTTGATTCAAAATTCCTTCCCTGATCCGTATGAACCTCAGAGGGAATACCATGCCTGGAGACAATCTCTTTTACAAAAACTTCCGCCACCGCTTTCGCTCTTATATTCCTCAAGGGATAGGCTTCCACCCACTTGGTGAAACAATCCACAGCGACAAGAAAATATTTCTTCCCAGACAAAGTTGTAGGAAGAGGACCAAGAATGTCCATCTGAATTCTTTTAAACGGGGCCCCGATATTATAAATTTGCAAAGGGGATTTTTCTTTACCTGAGGGGCCCTTTTTGGAGATACAAATTTTACATGAATTGCACCAGTCTTCGACATCCTGCTTGTAAGTGGCCCAAAAAAATCGCTTTTTAATTTTATCAAGGGTCTTATTGATTCCAAAATCCCCTCCAGAGGGAGAATCGTGAGCCTGCTCCAAAATCTCTCTTACTCGTTTACGAGGGACCACTATTTGCAGAAAACTCGATTTCAAATTCGGGGCCTCCCACCTTTTATAAAGGATCCCGTTCTTTAAACTTAGCGCGTCCCAATAAGACCAATAGATTCGAGCGGACATGTCTGCAGAAGTTATTTCTGAGCGACGAGGGCGTTTCCCCGTTTCCTTGGCGCGATAGATTTCAGAAATACTAGGGTCTTCTCTTTGTTTTTTTCGCCAAGTTTCCAAATTTGCTCCTACAAACTCTATTCAAGCAACAATATTTTTCGTCTCAATTGTGCTTTTCTTTTCAATTCTTGTACAATATTCACAACCCATCGTCTCGCATTGCCGCCTGGATAATCCATCAGCATTGTTATGGGAAAGCCCTTTGCGGTAAATGATTTCGAATTCGTACTGTTGGAGTCTCTCCAGTCATCGAGCTAGCTGCCCCTCCAGGTCTCTGAAAGACATCAGCCATCTCAAGGAAACATGATCCGTGCGGATCAAAAATTTTCGTCCTAAAAGATAATGGTGAAATGATTTAAGGGAATCAACAATCGCCAGAAGCTCTTGTCGAGTCACGCAATAATTCCTCTCTGCTTTACTAAGCACGCGACTAAAGTAAGCGATAACTCTTTCTACTCCATCTTGTTTCTGCGATAAAACCGCCCCGATTCCTGTATTCGACGCGTCGTGTCTAAAATAAATTCCCCTTCCCCCTTTGGAAAAGAGAGTACCGGGGAGGAAGATAATTTCCGTTTTAATTCCCCGAAGGCGTGTTGGCATTTTTCATCCCAAATAAATTTGGTTTTACTTTCTGTTAACGTGAATAGAGGTTTGGCCAAAGAAGAAAACCCTTTAACAAATTTTCGGTAGTAAGAACAAAATCCGAGGAAACTACGTAACAGCGATTTAGTATGGGGAGCCTTCCAATCTCTAACGGCAGCAATCTTTTCAGGATCAGTGGAAACCCCGCTCTCTGAAATTACATGACCTAAATATTTTACGTTTTTACCGAAAAGAACGCATTTTTTTGGATTCATCTTCAAATTCGCTTCGCGAAACCGTAGAAATACTTTTTTAAGATTGTTTAGCATTTCAAGGAAATTTTTTGCGAAAATTATCACATCATCAAGATAAACCAAACAGATTTTAAATAACAATCTTCGTAAAACCTTTTCCATAAGGCGTTGAAAAGTCGCGGGGGCATTACACAGACCGAAAGGCATGACTGTAAATTGCCAAAGCCCGCTTCCGACAGAAAACGCGGTTTTTTCCCTATCCTGAAGACGAATCTTTACCTGCCAATAGTCGCTTTTCAAATCCAAGGTGGAAAACCATGAGTTTCCGGAAAGTTGGTCGAGGATATCGTCAATTCTAGGGAGGGGATAGGAATCTCTTACGGTCACAGCATTTAGTTTTCTGAAGTCAATGCAAAACCTTATTGTTCTATCTTTCTTTTTAACTAAGACAACCGGGGAAATCCAAGGACTTTGCGACTCTTCGATTACACCTTGTCCCTTCATTTCCTCAATAATTTTTTCTACCTCCCCACGCATCTGAATCGGGACTCGACGAGGTCTCTGTTTAATGGGAAGAGAATCTCTCACATCTATTTCATGGTTAAGTATATCACAATTTCCTGCAACAATATTCTCAGAAAACACATCTTGAAAATCGCACAAAAAGTTAGCAAAAATTTCTTTCTGACCCAAATTCAATTCCTTAGAATTGTTAATAAAGAGTTCTTTTAAGAAAGGAG